TCTCTTTAGGAGGATATCGGAAATTCCATTGAAGAATAGCTTGTAAAAGGTATTTCTCGCAGCAAATACACAGCATCAGATTTGACCAAGCTTACAATGTACAAGTAATCACTTTCTTTTGCTCAGCACTTTTTAAAGAGTTTTCTTTTTTTCAAAATCAAGCTCGAAAGTTGGGGGTGCGGCTTATATACGAGTGCGGCTTATACACGAGTTTTTACGGTATTTTCCAAACCAACCAATGACCCCATAGAAAGTGTGGCATATAATTCTTCTTCAGCCTGCATGCACGTGAAACTACTAACGGTTTGAACTTGGCAATTTATTATGCGACACCGTAATTGCGTAAGCGTCACAATGAACAAGTTGAGATTTCATTGTCTTGTACCGAACATTTGATTGGCTGGAATTGAAAATGGGACATTATTTTGATTGGCTGGATTTGAAAATGTTGGAATCTATTGTTTCAGTTCTGCCGTGTGAATGGTTTTCATTTTCTTGGTGGCGCGGGTTTCAGTTGACACACTGTAATTCTGAATTAAGTGTAACACAAGTGTGATGTACATGTATGAGTCCACAGTTGCATATCTGCTGCACTTAATTGAATTGAATTCAACACGGCAGAAGTGTGACATATGTACAAGGCCTTTCAGTAAAGCATGATACATTACTTAATTAAACTTGAATAAATTCTCTCAAAAAATATTTTTGCTTCTGAATGCCAAATTTATTGGCATTCAAAAGTATTGTGATGGGTGCGAATTCAGTCACTTGATCACTTCCTGTTAACACTTAGGCATGCTTGGAATGTAGATTTGTTCTCTACGATACTGTAGAGGTTTACATGGTGTTACTAGTAAACAATTTCAGGGAGTTTTGACCTCATTGTTTTTCAAGGTTTTTGACTGGCTTTGTTGAAAATGTTGGCTATCAAACATACACTTTAGGTGAAATCTGCAGGCAATAAGAAGTTTTGAAGCAAATTGATGTCTATTTTCTATATTAGCAGGGTAGGATCAAACTTCGTGACTGGTCTAAATTGAGTGACTCTTAACAGATATATCACTGTTGCACTTCTAAACAACTCAGTTCCTTAATAAACATCCAGAATGCAGATATCATTTTAAAACTAGTGAGGCAATCTCAGATAGTGCAGAGTGTAATCCAGTGCTGTCATTAAGCTGAATCATCTGCTGTCTGGATCTTCCCACCCTTAATAAACTTGTTGGTTTGTGGGTGAATTGTGTTGACTACCAGGAAGTGCAGCCACAAAATTAAGACCCATCAAGCATGCTCAGCAATAAGAGGTGTTATGGGTTATGGGCCTTAATGACAGCCCAGTAATGTACAGCAGTTAAACCAGTCATTTACATAGGTGACGTGTGTTCCCTTAGACAGCTTGGGTCTTGCCCTCAACAAATGTGGGTGGATACTGTAGAAACCTTGATTAATAGTCATTCCTGTAATGTTATTATTTTGAGTGTGAACACTCAACAGAGAAAAATAATTTGACATCACTTGCATGTATTTCAAACTTGTATTTTTTACTCCAATGTTTTAATGGATAACAGCAAACTTTTACAACACCTGTGATGGACAATCGCCATGCTTTCATGGATAACTATGTAAATTACCTTAGGGCTATCCCAGTGTTCTCACAGGCCACGCTATTGGCAGTCCCTGCCAACTGCAATACTACCTGTTGTTTACAAATGACAGTTGACCATCATTTCCGGTGACAGTTCTTGAATTGTGGGCCACATCACAAAATTATCTCAAATAAATCAGTATGGCTGACTAGTCTAGGCAGACCCAAGTTCAACTCCTTGGTAAAGCTTGTAAATAGCCATCAGTTTTGCCTCATGACAGTTGTTGTTTTTTTCATTATTTTGTTTCTGACATTGATTTACTCAGCCCACTAGCCTTAATGCTTTATAGACTGACTGAGGGTAAATAAAGGTCATTCATTTATTTTAACTACAATATGACAGTAAATAGTTTAAATGATCAGTTATGTCTGTCCTTTTGATTTCCATTTTGTGTAGCACATACTGTTTTTGAATAACTTCTTGGGTGTTTTTTCTGCCAAGTGAAGACCACCCAAGTGACTCTCCATGCTTACAGATGGACATGTATATTCAGAGTACCATTTGTGGTCATTCTTGCTTTGAGACAAAGCAGATGATTGCAAGTTTTGAAGTGACTTCCATATTGTTGTGAAATCCCTCTTTAGAGGAAATGTGCACCATGCTCAGTGATTTCGAGAAGCTGTCTTTAGCAACATATTTAGAGTAACATCCATTGTTGTTGGAAACAAGCCGAGCTTGTGCATACCATGACAATTTGTGTGTGGATCACGCATGTATGAAACTACAAGTAAAAGCTTAAATGTGCGTTTATACTGTTTTTCGTAGTATCTTGAATAATAAGGTACAGTATAATGAAGAGTTGTATCCACAGTGCTTTCAGTGTCTTGACAATACATGAAGAGTCCACTGAGAGTATTTGCTGTGGCAATCATAAACATTCCAAGATACAATGTAATTCATGCAAACAGCAGTCTACAAAATAATGTATAAGAACAAAAAAATCAAAACATTATTTCTAGTTTACATTGGGAAAATATACTTTGCCGCTCTAATACATACTTTAAATTAAATTCAAATAATTGCCCAACACCCCACCCTCCTCAAAAAATAATATATGACTAACTTGGATTCAACTCTGTTGGCTTGCCTGTTGACATCAGGTAGTGACCCGTCACTACCCCACCACAGGACACATTGATCTCCCTCAGGTTAAGAGTGAGGTCACTTTCCATTTTCTTTGTCTTCACTAAGAAACAATCCATTTTAATTGCTACATCATAATTTTCCTCCTCTACAACCTTTACTGTTCTTATGTCTATTTGTAAATTACATGGGTATACATGTTGTCAGTGCTATTAAATATCAAACCAACCGTAATATGCAATAATACTTACAAGTGCTCAAGCTAAATTAACAAAACAAATGTTATAGCCAACAAATGATATAATCATTCCTTATCTCCACAAAATAACCAACAGTAGAAAACAATGTGCTCTAGCTGGTTATGTTTAGGCAAATGAAAATGGGCTTATGGTCACTTTGATATGACTCTACGTGTTGTGGAATATTAGTGTATATGTGGTCTATCTGAGTTTTACAATCTGTTGTGTACTGTTTTATCAGCTGAGTGTAACCTTTTTGCTTGATCATATATTCCACAGGAGCTTTAATTCAGAGGCGACTTGCATAAAATTGACATTAGTCTCCAAGTCTCATAAAATTATGACTGGAGTCTGTGGCTCACTAAGAATAGTCCGATGTAAGTGTTCTAAAGATTTAATTAATTTAGAAAATACAACTTTTGTTTTTGAGTGATATATCCCAACAGATCCCAACAACATGTACATTGTTATAACCAAGTAAACTGCAAATAGCATCAGTCATTTCTGTATTGTTGTAGTTCCATCTAAAGGGGTCATAGTGCACTCTACATCATTTCTGATGTACACAGCTGTTCCATATGTTGTTCAAGTAGTATTCTGTGGATCACAATCATTTCTGTACAGGCAAAAATTAGTCATGTCATATGCTTCATCAGTGTCCGTTGAACATAAAGCTCTCTCAACAAGTATATTCACACGTGCTTGTACACTATAATCACACACTGCATCTTCAACATGGAGATGCAAGGATCTTACATTTTGGAACAAAATGTTCAAGTTGCTTTTGTTACTTGATGTTTCATAAAGAAAGGAAATACATGGTTTTAGAGAGGCTTCTGACCTTAGAGGGTCATACAGGGGGTCTATGGCACAGTTCACGAACGGAAAAAAATTGAGGATCACGGATATAAAAATTTTGTTTTCGTGAATCACGAAAATAAGCAAGTAAGATACTCTTTTTAGTAACCTGTTCTTATGCTAGAAAGATTTTTTGAAGAAAGAAAAATTGTGAAAGGCTAAGTCAAGGCTCCATATTGCAAAGTCACTCTCGATAGACGACTCTAACCATTCGGAGGACTCGCATCTCAAAATAACGTAGAATAGATTGGTGAAATCATGAATATGGGTCAATTATTCAAGTTCTTCAGGGGTCACGCGAAACCTTCAGGTCATGGATCACGAAGAATAATTTCCTAAATTCATGTTTCATAGAAAATAAAATCAGCTGATCACGTTTCACGAGTATACCCCGGTATGACCCTCACCTTTGTCTAGACATTTCAGCTGCAACTTTCTTGCTAACTGCTATCTTTTTCTCTTTAAATTTAAGATATGCAAACCTGAAATATTCTGAAGTCTGCTTAGGCCAACATAATGCATACATGTATGTTCTCTCGCTGAAGCTGGTAAATCAACAACTGCTTCATCAAGTGTGTCACCTTGACAGCGATGTAATGTTTTTGCTGCAGCTGGTCGTAAAGGGAAAATGCGAAGAACTTGAACTTGATTTCTTTTGTACAATCTAAATTCTCTTGTGATTTCCAAGATTGGTGTCCAAGTGCTCTGTTTATGTCCATTATACAGATGTCGATATTCCCTTTGCCAATGAAGACCAATGTTAGGATCCTGAAACATTACCCATATAATACTTGGTCTAGTGGAGTCAGGTACTCTGTAGTCAATTTTTTTAACGGTACATTCTGCTCCATTGGTCATACCATCAAGGACAGAGACATTTGTTGTCAGTGTCGAGGAAAAGGTTGTTGTTATTCATCGTGGTAGATGCAATAATAAAGTGTATTATTGTTTGTCTCACGATGTAGTCACTTGAGATGTAGATCGC